GAGTAATGGAGCCCAGACTAATACCAGTCTGTGGGTCACCTGGTCCTGGTCCACAACAGGCCACAGTGAAAGAATGAATCATTTACTAGTTCTGTTTAATCTGGTTAATCTGGGAAATTAAGTCTATCAGAAAGGAATACTAATAAAATAACATTTAAAATATGTTTTATACATACATACATATATATATGTATGTATGTATACATATATAAATATGTATACATACAGTATATGTATACATATGTATATTTACACATACATATATTATATATATATACATATATATATATAATGTAAATTATATATAATACATTAAATATTATATAATATATAATATATATTATATATATTTATATAATCAGATTTTAACTGCCAACTCTCCAGAACGGCCACCAGGGGCAACTCAGACTTGGGGAGCATTTCGACATGTGGACGAGTGGAGCGTCGGAATTAAACCCCTAACCCTTCCAGCTTCTACGGGCAATGTGCGCCACCTACTGGTCCAGAGTCAGTTGTCGTCATTCACTGCTGAGAACAAAGGCTGAGAACGGGAGGAACATGTGACCTCTTTGTTTCAGTCATTACAAGTGGGAGCTGGAGTTTCTCTACTCTGGGCTGTTTTTTTCTTCATGCTGATATGTCTATGTGTGAGTGGGGGGGCGATGCGGGAGAGGAGGGCGAGGGGGGGGGGGTGCACATGTGCCACACACTTCCATTCATCCAGGGTTGCACACATTAACATTCTGGCTGTGGTAGAACAGATGTGAGGAGAACTGGAAGGGTACGTTTAGTACCAGTTTAGATTTTTTTCTTATTTGGACATTTCTGTGACCTTGATCATGTGACCTAACACAAAATGTCTGTTGCCTAGGAGATGTCTAAAAACCAAGGAGTCCCTGAGAGACGCAGAGTTATTTTTTTTTGTTGTTGTTTTTTTGATTTTTTTTTGTTTTTTCCCTCTCAGCCCGGTCGACCCAGGATCGGTGAGATGGAGCAGCAGCTGAGGAGAAATCTCTGTTAAGCTGCAGAAACAGGCTAAAGATTATTTATGCATATGCTTAGGAATGCAAATGAGATCACCTACATTACGCTCTGTATGCGTGTGTGTGTGTTTGTGTGTGGGCGTGTGCGTGCGTGTGTTTCTTAGAGCCTTTAAAGAAGTGAGTGAACTAATGAGAGAGACGGACCAACACATCCATTCACATGTCTATAGTGATGATTAATTTATGACCTCCTACCTCCATACCACACACACACTCACACACACGTGCACGCGCGCGTGCACACACACACGTAATTAACTACATCAAATTTCCCCGACTGTCACATCATAGCACATGAATAAACAGAGTGGAGTGTTCAGAAGATAAACTCAAAATGGGTTTAATTTATATATATTTCTACTGTAATCTAATGTTGAACAACCACCACTCCACACACACACACACACACACACACACACCCTGGTGGGTTTGTTTTTGGAATTTTCTCAGAGACACATACAGGACAAACAGGAAGATAAGCCTGACAATGGCAGAGAGCAGGAACCGGCACGAGGCAGAGGGGGCAAATACTGTGTGTGGGTTTGGGCAAAGAAGCGCCCTCTGTTGGCAATTGAAGGCATAGTGCGGGAAGAGAAGAAAAAAAAAAAGGAGGAGAGACAAAAGAGGCGGTTACATAAAGAAAAAGTATGAATATAGGCATGAGAGAAGAAATGAGAGTGGGTTGGGAGGCATTCACTGTCTCTGTGTGTGTGTGTGTCTGTGTGTGTTTGTACATATGCAACAGCTCCATAGAGCCCAAGCTCTGCTGCATCTACAGAGGATTTCTGTCTGCTGCTGCTGCCTCTTCATATTTCTCCTAGACTCTATCTTCTTCATCCTCCTCCTCCTCCTCCTCCTCCCTTTCCTTCTTCCTTCTTTTTTTTCTTTCTCTGCTTCCAGGATGTTCAATAATTCACAGACAGTACCAGTCGGGATTGGCACAGCAGGGGGCGTACAAGCTGACAACATATTCATGGACTCAAAATGAAGAAATTACACCACTCACACACACACACACACACACACATTCCTGCAGCAGAATCCCTGCACTGACGTGTGTGTGTGTGTGTTTCTGGATTATCGTTACACTCACTCACTCACACACACACACACACACACACACACACACACATTCCTGCAGCAGAATCCCTGCACTGACGTGTGTGTGTGTGTGTTTCTGGATTATCGTTACACTACTTTATTAACATTAAACTACATTTAAGAAGAAAAAAAACATTTGTACAATTTGTAAAAATATATTAAAATTATCTAATTTTAATCTAATTAAAATCTTAATCACCTGAATATTTTATCCATCAGGGATCTTTTTTATCTAATTTTCTTTTTTAATCAACTGTCAAATTGTTGCTACATGTTTGACATGAAGTCATTGAGAACAGTTTCATCTCCGTCCTCTGAAGATTACG